AAGCACCGAGAAGTCGCGATGCGAACAGTCGTTTGACCGAAAAGAAACAACCGAGTGCTTGCAAAGGAGTACTGAATTTGAGACTATCAGCGTCAATTCAACATAATAGACGGATTTCGGGCAAGATACGAGAGATAGTGAATGCCGACGTCCACAGCAGCTTAGTTTTCATGGCCGTGTACGATCCAAAGCAGGCACCCTGCACATATGTATAACGGATAGAGCGACTCTTGTAATGACGAATTGGCTGTCCAAGCGCTTGTTCGTCTTGTCCACATGTATACAGCCAATATAAAGGCTTCGTGTTGTCTGTCAACGCGTTCGTAAGGCCCAGCGGTTGTGCTATGACGCGGTCGAGATTCGGGGATCGAGCGATTCGTTTGACCCAGGCGCTGGGCATATGCGACGAATTGACGCGTGCGAGGTTCGAGTGACTCGCGAGAGCGCGAATGGTGTCGTGGAATCAGAATCGCGCGACACACAATGTGGCCGGGTTGGGACCTCGGGATGTTCCGAACACGCTAATATCGCTACGTCATGCGCTTCCCCGACCTCCTTTCACCTCCATCAGCCGCACCGTGAAGTTGCGCGTTCACACAAACCATCCAACGACACGCTGACAACACGCGTAGAGAAGTTTAGCTACCGAAAAACCCCTCTCAACCAGCTTGCACTACAGAGAGACTGTCGATATAGCCAAATGGCAGACGTGGAGATTCTTTCTCAAAGAGCGGCAATTGAGGACGCACTTTGGCATATGGCAGTATACGAATCGTTACGAGATGACCGTTCACGATGGTCTTCGCGTCGACCGTGATGGTTTAAGGGCCCGGACAGAGATGGACCTTTACCAGTGTTCTATCGGCCTTCCATCCCATATCCTTCCTTCTCAACCACCCAACGTTGCGACTTCTCTCACTATTGGAACATCGGTTACGACTTTCTTCTACCAACCGAGGTAAACGTGCGTTTGCGCACTCGCCGAGACCGACATTGCTTCATTGCCCGTTTGTTATTAACTTATACATGCTCTACCGTTACAGTAGCCTAGAAAGGTTCTTGACTTTACTGCGGGGTTCGGGAACACGCTATGGGGCGTATAAGAGAACCTTCTAACCGTATATTTGGCACTGCATCATATACTAACCACCGCTAGCATCAACTAACAGCTAAAATGGCCCCTTCAACCCGACTACGAGCTAGGCCGGACCGCCGTGTCAACTATGCTGAGCCCTCTGGCCCGATAGGTACCCGCAATAACCCTGTTCGTATCGAAGAAACCCCAGAGCCCGAAGCCGGCTCCCGAACCTCGCCTGCTCCTACCACATCCGGCAGAAAGCGCGGTCGTAAGCTTCCTGTTCGCAAGAAAACTAGAGCTATCTCACCTGAAGCACCAGAGGCCTCTCTTGAGAAGGACTCCAAAGCTGTCGCTCGTGTCAAGGCTGGTGCTGTTGTGAAACCAAAAGCAGAGCCGAAGACACGCAAGAAGCTTCCGATACCGAAGGAAAAAGAGCGACCGAAGAAGCAAGAGTGCTCAATCTGCGCAACAATCAAGGACACGTCTAGATCTTTCAAGGTCCCCAATGATGCCTGCGAACATCTTCAGACTATCTGCAACTTATGTGTCGCAAAGATGCTCAAGACGAAGGTCGCCGATCGTCAACTCAAGGATGCAGAGTTGAGCTGCCCAGTCCACGAATGCGACTATTCGCTAGACTATGCAGCTCTTCAGGCCATAGTTAGTAAGGCAGCTTTCGAAGAGTAATTCATTCACTTGTATCACCATTGATCAATATGCTAACTCGTTGCAGCTACGACAAAGCCGTCACGAAGCACGCTCTATCTAGTGGCGAATCATACATCCCCTGTCTTTCTGCCAAGTGCGGCCGATACTTCTCCATCGAAGACTGCAAAAACACCAAAAGCAGCAAGCAGCGGGTCGCCTGCCCCTACTGCGAACACGAAATTTGCTTGAAGTGCAATCGCCCATGGACGTCGCACGGGAAAGGTGGGTGTGACCAGGCGAAAAAGGCAGAGGACGATTTGTCTAAGAGGGCTGTCAAGACCATGGGAGCCAAGCCATGCCCAAAGTGCGGTATGAACATCCAGAAGCACGGTGGATGCGATCACATGACATGTAAGTCTCGAATAAGGTCAAACATCAGCCGTGATATCCGATACTAACGTACATTTTCAGGTGAGCAGTGCGGCCACAACTTCTGTTGGGTGTGTCTCGTTGAGTACACCAAGGACATTCGGCACCTCGACGACTGCCCGCATGCGCGAGTTCACGTTGCTGTCGATCCTGGCAATTGGCTTCCTGAAGACTTGACTCTTGCGCAGATCAACCGCCTTATCGCCGAAGCAGACGCTCGTCTCGATGCGCCGGTGGAAGCTCCCGCACACGCTCCTGTGAACGTTCCTCATGTAGCGCCGGCACCACAAGCCCCAGCACCAGCACCAGCACCACCGCCACTAGCCGTCGCTTTCGGCGGGATACTCAACCCTCTTAATTGGAGGGGCGGTGGAGGTGGAGGTGGCGCAAATCCAGGTGCGGGTGCTAATCGCCACCCACTGGATGAGGAGGAGGCTGAGGAGGACGAAATAATGGAAGATGTACATGAACGACCTGCCCGGAGCCATAAACGACCTGCCCGGAGCCATGAACGCAGACGACGGGACGATGAGTTTTGATCAGCTAACCAAGCGGAGCAAAGACGGTCAGAGTCAAACCTACGTGCGGTTGAGCAGTACTAGCTTATTACGAAGGCATGACGATGCGGTTTCATGTGCTCAAAGCGCGCCCATTGTGTTTATCCGTGTACAAGTAGCTAGCCATAAGATTTGAATGTATAATTTGGCAAGATCGTCGTCATACTCCTAGATGTCCGAGCTGCCGTGTTCCTTGTGGTTACCCTACACATCTTCGCTTAAGTCATAGTCGTACTGCTGTCCTCCGTCATAAACTTTTGATGTCATCGTTGTGCATTTCTGATGTCATCATTATATTCTTGGTAGGATGTTAAACATCGGGAAGCCTACGAAATTTCTGCCGAAGAGCTTGTCTGTTATTTATTTTACCTCTGACAACCAAAAACTACCCTAGAGCATGTGTTGTCGCCATGTTGCCACGAATGCAACGTAGAGTACGATGTCGCCTTCAGGGTAATCTTCGAGCGTTGGTTCCTATTAGCTGTATTGCACCTTCTCATATACCAAAACCGAAGCAGGCACGACATCGAAACAACAACAACCGTGCGGCATATCCGCTGGCAGTCGCGAACCACACCACCCAACATGACTTACTCGCAATTGCGCTCTCATATTCCTCCTTTCTACAACCCGCTCCGCGAAGTACGCCATCATGAGCGATGCAGACTCCGACGACTGGGTCGATTCATCAGAGGGCTCAGACGACGACATAGACGACGAGGCGAGGTGAGTGACCTTGAAATCCTCCATGTCCCAATATGGGGTTATCTGTCTGCTTACATGCCGCTAATGTATCCGCCTCGCAGCGACGGAGATGATGAGACCAGCACCAGTGAGCAACAGTTCCCGCGCAGGAGCGTGGATGAAGTGGAGAGCGCTGCGTAAGTATCTGGCCATCCCCAGCAGTCTTCCGCCCATTCAACTCACCTATCGGCTCAACATGACGGCTAACCAATATCTACAGCGCCAACACGCGCCGCCGTACGTCTTCCATCTCATCCGGGCTCGCCGCCATGACACCCGCCGAACTCACATCCACTCAACCACGCCAACCCACTCCCCCGCCCCCAAGACGCAGCTCCACGCTCCCGGATCAAATCGAGCACGACCCCAGCCATGATAGGGCGCGATCTCCCAAATCGTCACTGCCGGACTACCACGACCCAGACTCACCTACTCAGAAACGAGGCCACGGTATACCTCGCAACCCCGTGGCGGATACATGGCGTGAGGACGCGTACCTGAAGAAGGAGGCCAGTGAACGGAAGATCTCCAGCGCAGAGGCCGGGAAAATGCAAGATAGGTGGCGATGCGAGTATTGCGGTCGACTGAATGAGAGGGGAGCCGAGACAACAACAACAACGACTGATCCCGACGATCCGCGCGTGGGTGCAGCTGGGTCATCTACCGCGTACGTATATCTCTTCTACGTCAGACAGCAACCCCCAAAAAGTCGTTTGGAAACTACAATGCTAATACGAGCGTTAGACCAACCGGCCCAGTTCGTATTCCCGCATACGAACCCTCAGGTGTGTCGGAAACGAAATGCGCATACTGTGGCGAGAAGCTTAAATTGGACTTATCCCAATACGATCCACGTGAATTTTCGGAGTTTGGAGTCAACTTCAACCTGATGAAGTTCAACAATGAGGAGGAAAAGATAGCACATGCGAGGAAGGCTTGGCAAAGAGCGCGTCACAGGGTTGGCATTAGGTGGAGCGAGGATGACAGGAGACACAGATCAGAATCAAGGAAAGCAAAAGAGAAGCGAAGGGAGGAAGAGGAAGTGCAGAGTCCGCTTGGATGGACGGTCAGACCAGGAAGTGAGGAGAGAGCGGAACCTGGAGAAGACGGGGGCGAAGATAATGATGCGGAGGAGAACGATGATGAGTGGGAAGACGAGAATGCGCCAGGAAGCCCTCAAGAGTAGACCGTTGCGCTGATGTAGGCGCCCGACCACATTGATAACTGAACAATCATACTACCAACCTCCCAACCACCAAACCAAACCCCCAAGCCCCAGCGTGACTCCACCATGCCACGCGATCCCCCAAGCCATCGCGAACAAGAACTTGGGACTAAACACCGTCCAAATGAAAAGATGCTGCCTCAACACCGTACAAGCCAGCATAACAGCACCCAACATACCCCCCGTCCAAAACGTCAACAAAGCAACATGCCCGACCCACTCCTTCCTTTCCTTCCTCGTCTCCCGTCCCTTCTCCTCCTTCCGCGCCAGCTCATTCAACCACTCCCTTTCCTTCGCCACCCAGTCCGCAACATGCAGCTCACTAGTATCAATATAGCGTTGCGTGCGCCCATGAGAACCCAGCAGGAGTATACCCGCCAAAGACCAATACACAGGTCCCGCCCAGTTCGACAGGAACACCAGTACACCGACAGCGAGCACGTTGTAACCTGAGATGCCGTTGTAGGAGTTTGACAGGTCGATGGAGGAGATGGAGTTGCTGTTTCCGAGGGCGAAGAAGGAGGTTTGGGTTAGGAGGAGAGTTGTTAGGGTTACGGCTGTGGGGGTGAGGTCGAGGAGGGCTGTGTGGGGTGGAGGATTAGTTTGTGGTGTTTTGAGAGGACGGGGTGTTAGGTTGACGGGGGAACGAGATGGAGTGGCTTACTGAGGAAGAAGTATTGGAGTCGGAAGAGGAAGTAGAGGGGTATGTTTTGTGCTTTTGTCTGCGTGAGCAGGAAGAGCGTTGTCAGGTCGAAGAAGGCGACGGCGAGTTCTGGGGTGCTGTTAGTAAGTCTGTTCGACTTCATGTAGGAGGGGTGTGACGTACCGCCGTTGCCTTGCTTTCCTCGTCTCTTTCTCCGCTGTGAGCGTGTCCACTCTGCGAATGTGATCCAGACGCCGCTCAGAAGTAAACCTCCGAATACCATGCGCGCAAGACCTACGAGTTCCAACGTCTCGACCATTTCTACCAAGCCTGCGCTCAGGCCGTAGGTCATCTCGGGTGCATCCTTGACGGTAAAGGCGAGTTTGAAGATCAACGCCGTGCCGCAAAGCGGTAGTACAGCAATAGTACCAAACATGCGATTCTGATCCGTAGACTCAATCTCCACACTGTGCATCTTCTGTTCGCCGTCGAAGGTCGCAATAGAACGCGCGACATGCCTGGCTATACGAATGGTGACATCCATGTACGTAGCGCCGATGAAAATCCAGAGTATGACGGACGAGTTACCGTGGAAGAGGCCGCTGTTGACGATGTCGTCGGCGCCAGCGTACTTCTGCCCAGTCTGATTCCATCGTCTGACAATCCTGTGTATGGCCAGTGCCAAGACGGCAGGATGGAAGATCCAATTGTTGTACCATTCCTTCCGCATGTTGTTGAAGAAGAGGCATAGGAACCAGCCGGATGTGGCCCAGTACCAGAAGTTGTGCTCTTCTTCCACGTATGAGGATGCGAACATGAGGACAGCGTACAGTACGAGGGCGAAGCCGTAGTAGATGCCAGCTGGCGTGGCAGGTCGGAAAGCAGGGAGTGTGGAATAGCTCAGGGTGCAGATGAGGAAAGCTAGACAGGTTCCGAGGAAGAGGCGAGTGACGTTGTAGTTCGAGGCTGTGCTGGACATCATCTCCTGGGCTTCGTGCATGAATTCGTAGACGTTTTCTTGGAAGTCGGCACCACTGCTGATCGTACCGACAGCTGCCTGCCAGAGACACGCTAGCAACTGGCCGTCAGATAGGTGCGAGCGGCTTTCCCCAGGTTGGAAGCATGTGAACCCCAGATCGCCTTCCGTCAATGTCTGTTCGTCAAATCGTAGATTGGTATATTTGGCTTTGACAATCTTCTTCATCTGCTTAGCATTGCGGTAAAGAAGCTGCATGCGGTCCGACGGATTATCCCAGAACCCGAGGAACTCCTTCAGGAAGACACCGAGATTGTTCTGTGGGACAGGAAATCCAAGCAGACCTGCAAGTGTCGGGGCAATGTCGCTCTGTTCAACCAAGCGGTAGTACTCGAACTCTCCTTCGTTCTTCGGTTTGATGGGACTCCGCTTGTCAGCCGCTTCAGTGACTTTGCTGAGCTTCGGGCTCATGAAGACGAGTGCGGGAGAGGTCTCGCCTGGCGATGAGCCACCGTGGTTGCCGCCATCGTTCATGCCGTGATCGCCGCAGAGTACGAGGAGAGTGTTGGAGAGGTGGTCTTCGTTCTCCATGGCTGCGTAGATGTCGCGGACAATTCCATCCATCTCGACCTGCTTAGGGACCATGTTAGGACTGTAGATAGATTAGCATTGTGCCGCTACTCAAGTAAGGGACCAGAGCGGTGCACCTCTTAGGACCAGCCTTATGCCCAATATGATCCAAGCCCAGATAATGCATAATCATAGCATTCCAGTCACTGTTCAGCAACTCATTGGGAACATGCCTCGTCACATTATTGTCAACCTCTGTGAAATCCTGCACTTGAGAATCAACAATCTATTACTCCTACGTACAGCGGAGAGCTCATGACTGACCGATACAAAGAAGCTGCTTGTGCCATCGGCGCGCTCAAACACGTTCGGGAAGAGCTTCAGCCAGGTGTCATCGCCGTACATGATCAGCTTTCCTTTCCCATCATCATAGTCCTTCGCCTTGATCTGCGCGAGCCAGGTGTCTTGCGTCGCGAGGGTGGACGTCGTGTCTGATTCGGCGAAGTTTAGGATTACGTCTACGAAGGAGGGTATGGAGCCTGTCGTTATGGCTTTGACGCGGGGCATGGTGATCGTGGGAGAGGTAGCGTGAGCCGTGAACGGAAGCGCGGTTCCGTCTCGTATCAGACTAGGTAATAGTCAGTTCAATTGCGCGTGCGCAGTTGTTCAAGGAGTGCCATACCTCTGCACAAAAGTCATGCCGCTTTCCTCTCCGTACGCGAAGTCGCTCCTCAGCGCATCAACAACCATGAAGATAAGCTTGTCAAACGGTGCCGCGGGTGGCTTCTGCCAATCCTCTCCCATCTTCTCAGACCACGCAAGCTCTTCATACTCCGCTAATCCGGGCATAAAAGGTTTGTACGGGAAGAAGCCTGTCGCGAAGACCAGTATCGCGATCGGGATGAGGAGGTTGGCAACCGTGAGAAGAACCGTTCGAAGCGCCATGATGACCTGTCAATGTGCGTATTAGTTGATTAAAAGTTCAGGACGCGCTCATAGCATGACGAGCAAGTCCAATGCCAGATGGGAAATTTGACGCGTCCAACATGGTGTCGCAAGACGCGACGTTACGTTTGAGGCTCTCAGAACTCAGGGTCCGAGCTCTAACCCCAAAGGCCTTAGTGGGGAACGCCATGGAGCCGATGACATCACTACCTCGGATGTGAGCTTCCTTATTGTCAGCATTTGCTCCGAGCAAGCATTCATGTCTCCAACGCCATTGGGACTTACTTAGCAAGGACGAGCCTGCCTGTGTGCACCCCGATTCGACGTACCTTCCTCCCGATCCGTTGCCTCCGCTCAGCCACGCGTTTCCCGAGATCCGACCGAACTTTCGAAAAGCAGCTCTTTGCATACCTCCAGCAGCAACACCTTCCGCACACTCCGAGCTCATCATCCCCGGCTTCCAACATGTCCTTCTTACTTCCTGGCCTTCGTAGGGGCTTGATGCTCAGCACGCCACTCATCTTGTCGACGCCTTTACTGGCGTATCAGTTCCGAAATGCGCAGCGCATACGATGCGATGGTCCGGATCCAATCACCAAGATAAAAAATGACCTCACAAACAACTACACAAACGAAGCGAGGACGCCAGTCATCACTCAATCAGGTGCCATGAACCCGCAGGCAGTTCGTCAAATCAGCATGGGAAGCATTCTGGGTGTGATTGGAGGACTGGGAATCAGCGTGTTCAGCAAGCCATTGGCTGTACTGATTGGGCTGGGTATTTTTGCTTTGCAGGTAAGTCGACAATTTTGTTTGTGAAGTTTCGATTGGAATCTAGGATACATGGATGGGTACGCCGCATGCATTTGGGGATATCTATGTGGTATATGCAAGACACGCTACCGATCGTTATGCTTATGATCTCGAAGAAGATGAAACTGACAGAAGATAGTTCATCGAGTCGCGAGGTATCCACGTCATTCCGTACTCATTCCTGGAGCGCCGGGTAAAGTCGATGAATGTCCGGTCACTAGTACGCGACAACGTTGCCTTCAAGTTGTCTTTCGGCTTGACGTTCGCGATGGCCGCATTTGCCGAGTTTTAAGTTGCTGGACGATGTGTATTCTTTCAGTAGGCATTGGGCTGTGGGATTCCATTGGCGAATCGATGTGCTGGGTTCATTGTCTGGGGCTGTAGTTGCATTTGCAGTTGCTTGCACGTCTGCCAGAAAGCTTTCACGCTGTCTTTGAAGGCCGCGCCATTTCTTGCGTTTCTGTGTGTATGTCAGTACCAAAATACAGAAATCCGAATCACGAGCTAAACTTACCTGGTCATGTTCTCGATGAGCTTGCGCACCATATCCTGAACACCCTGATCCTGCTGGAATCGCTGCAAAAGCGGCTGCTCTGCTAGCGCATTTGTGATGTATGCCCTAGAGTTTTTATCGGCTCGGATTAGAGCTCGCAGAGGTGCGATAATGTGCTCTAAACTCGTAAAGTCCACCTCTCCGCATACGTTGGCCATAAGTGCAAGCGTCACTGTCGGACCGAAGTGCGCCACGATCTCCTGCGTTGTAGCCTGGTGAGGGCTATTCGTATTGCCTGCAAGCTCGAAAACGTCTTTCCACAGCTTAGCAGCCGCGCGTTTTGGTAGGACTTCAGGCGACTTAATGGACTCGACCGTAAAGCCGAACATGCCCGATAGATTCTCAGGTGATTCTTGAGTCATGATACGCGGATCAGTGTTGATAAAGTTCTGGACCAGTTCTATACAGCCGACAGCGATTTCCGGGTCGTTTCGTGGATGTTGCAGTGCCCGCATGATGCTGAGGTCGTGTTGGAGTAATCGCTGGGCCTGAGCCTGGAAGCCTTCCGGTTGGTGATGCTTATGCGATGAGATCCAGCAGCATGCTGTCTCCAAGACGAATGGCAGTCTCGGTGTTTGCACAGTGGTCTTCGTAATGAAGTCGATCGCAGCAGAATGAGGTAGTACGAATGGACCCGACACAGTTTCCTTAAAACCTGTGCGGAGAACACAGCACGCCGCTTCGATGATCTCGTCGTTTCCAGGGAACACTTGGGTCATATAATTGACAAGATTTATGACCTGGTTCTGGATCTCTTTGCCTGGACCTTGCAACCAGAATACCGAAGGCTCCTTGTCGGATTCCAAGTCCACTACTTCTTCGTCCGATGCTTGCATTGCCTTTCCAACGCTTGCAAGACACTTCAAAGTAGTCAGGGCTAGCACTTGGCCTTCTTCTGCATCGCCTCCTTCTTTGGTGATGTTGATCGACTGCATGGCATCGCGTGTGATGTATTGGAAGAGCTGCCGTACACCCTCGAACTGCTTCTCTTCTGTATCTTGAGCTTGTACTATAGCGGCGATTCCCTTCAAGACCATACTCTTGGTGAACTCCTCAGCAGTGGCATACGTTAGGAACTGTTCGTACATTTGGAAGAATGAGGGCAACTCCCCTATCAAGGACTTCCGACACTCGGAGCAAAGTGAAGCAAAAGACTTGGCAGCGCCGTGAGCGATAGCTGGCTGAGCAAGAGCTGTGAGCAGGAACGGAAGAACTTGAGGGAGGAACTGCGGGTTTCGGAGGAAGAAGTGGTTCAAGGCGGCGACAAGTTCCACAGCGGTCCTTCGGGTGATAGCCGGCACACCAGGAGTGCTGGATATGGTTGCGAACAATGGTTGCTCGAACAGTCGGGTTAGACGATTGTCGGAATTTTGAGTTAGAGCGTCGGCGATGGCGATCAGACCAAACAGTCCAGTCTCGAGCTCTAACCAGTCACCCGCACCTAGTCCGCGTAAGGCGAAATCGACAAACTGGTCAGTGAGCACGTCACGTAACGGGTCGTATGCCTCCATGATGATATCTCGGACGTCAATGCGGAAGACCTTGAACGTCTTCCTTGCGTCTGAATCCCATGATTCAGTGACGTCAGCAGATGGATAGATAATCTTCTGTACGAGCTCGGAAACTGCTTGGAGAACATTGGTCTTTGCAGTATTCATCCAGTCAGGCACTTGCTCTCCAGCGGCATACAAGAAAGTTTCTTCGGCGATAGCGCTGACATAATTGCTCCAGAAGTCGAGCACCACAGGTGCAATCTCGTCTTCAGCGCCTACCGGGTCTGGGTATTTGAGAAGATTATGCAAGAAGGACATGACCTGCTGATGATGTGTGCTTTCTGGCTGCGTGTAGATAACCTTGGAGTCAAGCAGAATCTGTCCGTAGGCGACAATGATCCGGGCGAGGGAAACGGTTTCGGCGTCAGAGTTATTGAGTATCTCCATGCCCCATGGACCTGAGATTGCCGACCAGAGCATTTCTTGATGTTTTGCTTCGAAGAAAGTAGGGTAGTTCTCAAGGATCTCAGCTACTAGTTCCATGGCATCTTCAACATGATATTCGAGACACGTCAGTGCGAGCTCATTCACTGACCGGAGATGTTGGAGCTTCTCGAGGTCGTCTTTGAACTCGGATTGGGCGTAGAAGATCCATCCGGTAAAGCACTTGAGAGCGGCGATGCAGATCTTCTCGCCTTGCTGCACTGATTGTGCGTAGGTGGGGTCATCGATGGAGATTGACAGCCATTTAATGCCACGACCGAATGAAACGTGGAGAAGAATTTCAACGCTCTCTACGTTTGCTACCATGCGCTCTTGTGACTTCCGGTCTGGGTTGTTAGACGGCTTCTTGGCTTCATCTGCTAAGCTCATGGCAAAGTCAAGCATAACTAGAAGTTGCTCATCGGAGAATTGCGGAAGGAGATCCCATGTTGAAGGATGTTCTTTCAAAGCCTCGTCTAGGACCGGACGCTGGGCGGCAAACGATGCGGCAAGACTCCTGATACAATGGGTCCATACGGAAATGGGCTTTGAGAAGTACTGTGCCAAGGTCGAGCTGACTTTCCGGGTGGCGATGGATGAGCTAGGGCGTGAGACAAGATGATGAATAAGTGTTGAAAGCAGTTGCTCGGATTCCTCTTCGCTTAGTTCAGCCGAGTCGGCGTTGAGCTTGACGGTGAGAGTCAGGGCACCGAAGAAGCGAACCTGCTCGTTGTCGCTCTTCAAGAGGGCATCTGCAATTTCCCAGCCTTGGGGAGAGCGTTGAAGAACGCGAAGGGTGGCCTCGGTTTCGGCGATCTTCTTTGCTTGGCCGGGTTCGTAGATGGACTTTACTAGGCGTTCAATCTCCTCGTAGGGCAGAGGAAAGGCCCCGTTGCTCGCCATGCTGAGCTTTCTTAAGAGGTTTTGCACTACGGACTGCTGTCAGTTTTGCTGCCAGATGTCAGGGTTCCAGGAACCAGGTCAGACGTTACCGAAAGCAGGAAGGTGCGACGTGAGATGTGGAAGGCGCGAAAAGAGGGTACACAAAATCGAGTGCGATGGTGACTGCGATTGGCCCCCTAGACGATAGACATAGCCCGTCGTATTTCGAGATTGTTAGGGATGGCGGTTCTAGGCCGTGCCGAAATATAAAGGTGCAGGGCCGGGGGTTGGTGAGGCTGCGCGAGGTTGCCTCTACCTGCGCGTATGGTGGGGCAAAATCGGAAGCAGACTACGGTGACGGAGGCTCATGTTAGTGACTGTCCAACGTCGGGGACCTGGTGTTGCAATAAATACAGATGCGCCTCCCTACGGTGCCTGGGGGTGAGGGCTCTTGCGCTTGGCAAGGCTTGATTGGAGCCCTGGCGATTGCGCTTAGTGCGGGACTGGCTGCGGCGTTGTCGCTGTGCTGTGGGCGGGCACGGCGGGGTGTTGTGCATGTCCCGATCGTAGGCGCGAGACCGTGGCATACCCTATATGCTCCTCCCGCGTTTTCTTGGGCGCTCCCACGCGACAGCTGCTGCATATGTAGCCGCAAGGACGCCATCTTTCCGAGCCAGACCCTTCCACGCTTCTGCTGCCCTGCGTGCCATCGACATGTCCAAGGTAGACACGACCCAGCGGCTGGCGGACCTCCGCAAGCTCATGAAGGAGCGCAA